TTGTAAACTTAATTATATTATTAATACAATTTATTTGTATATTTCTTCTAGATTTTATCATTTTAAAATTCGATTAATTTTTATTACTTGCAGAAATGGAACACGAAATGATGCTTAAAAGCATAAAACAAAATACTTGCACAGTGCTGTAACAAATTTTTAAAAAATTGTGCCATAAGATTTTTACATTAAGTATATGTACTAATGTTATATTTTATTATAGTTCAGCGGATAATGTTATTAATATTTGTAATTGCTTCTTAACAATTTTTCCTTTTAGAAAAAGTAACATGAAACGATTGTTGTAGATGGATGGAAGTGGTTGGAGTTCTTTAGGCAGAATCTTGGCAGGACGTAAGCCTGTATTTCTATATCGTAATGTAAGACAGTGGAGGAAAAGGGCTGCAAGAATGATGTCAGCATCTATACCTAACACTAACAATCCCGAAAAGGGTGCAGAGTAAGTATTTATGAATATATTCACTTATATATACTTTAATCTTTGTTTTTATATTTTTCACTAATCATTACGTTCTGTTCCAGAGCAACAGACAAAGATAAGGCACTTGATACTGTAGATGCACTTCTTAAACGACCTACTGGTTTGAGATTAGCAGATTCTGGGGATACTTCTGACATTATTAACTCTGATGAAACCCAATGCAGATTCAATCCCAATAGTTACCAAATGCTTTATGTTGCTAGCAAGGAAGCATTCCTTTACAAACAGAACTCGTTCAATCGTGCCAGAGAGGTAAATTTCATCATTGTATTCTCTGGAAATTATTGAAATTAAAGGATGGCAGTTGTGCAACTTATTGAGCTCTTCAATGACTTCTAAAATTTTATTAACATATGAAGATATTTTTAACAAGTATTTTTTTTTTAATAGTGCCATCCAGCCGTGACGAAACACTTAAATTCGAAGTTTCACCAGTGGTTGGCGTCCTGGGCGTCTAAAAATGTTGCGGACATACAGCATCGGTTATGTCAAGACTGGTTAATGGGTCGTTACGAGAATTTAATTCCTCACAAGACACGAGTGATCACAGACAATGACCAAACTAGATCACCTTACCGACAATACAATCGTTATCGAGTCGAACGCTTGCAACCTGACCTTCTAACGGAACCATGTGTATAATCTTACATCCCTTATAATTTCTTTATTATTCTTTGAGAATATATAATTATTACTGAGAGCTCGTTTCGATAATCTCGTATTCGTGGAAACTTTTTTGTTAATAATTAGATAAGAGAAATAATCGCGAATCGAGGGCAAAAATGAGACTGATTCTTCGCCCGCGTTTCGCGTTTACGAACCACTATAAGAACGTCTTGTTTTGCTGATAGAGATCATTACGGCCGTAGATAATAAAATGATCGAGAAAGAATCATCGTTCTTTGTTACGCTCATTGCAATCGACTACGGCAAAATAACGTTCGGTTCTTTAATTGTACAGGTACGGATAATGGTACGATGCCAATGGAAATATCGCTGACTCGTTAAATTACTATTTATATAAAGATTTACAAAGATTCATTATAGTTATAAATATGAAATTCGCGGATTGAACGTTAAGAACGATATAGACATGTGATATTTCCAGTTGTATCGGATATAAGCTTGTGATCAGGTAATATAAGATGATTAGACGTAACGTTTTTTTTCTACAACGACTCATTTACCATCATATTAGGTATGCATACTTCAAGTAGGATTTTACATAAGAGAGTAAAGTTAGAAGAAAACTTTTGATACTTTATGTAATCTTAAACAATTTAGACAGGATATATACTACCTTAACGTAATTATTGAACGTAAGCGCAGATCGCAGATTCACTCAGTTTTATTTCATCAAATATTTTATTTTTGTACATTTGTGAGATTCTTACTAAAAGTATTAGATTCCGTTGTCAATTGAAACTTTTATTTATAGCGAAACAGTAGAGAGTTTGAACAGATAATCGTATGCGTTTAAGCGCGGATCAGAGCAACTTATTGAAAATTGTATACCTTGTTGAAACAATAAAAATTTTACGAAGTCTTTTCCATACGGGAACATAGTGTAATAGTTTTTGCAGCTTTTCTGGTAATGGAGGAAATTGTTATCCGAAGCACTGTATGTACAAAACAGTTTTCGTTAGAAGTTTTTAATAACTTACTTCTCTTATTTTATCGCGGACTAATCGAAATCATTCTTCACGGAAAAAAAATTGTGTATTATACATAAAATTTGTGTGTATGGACACATACTTGTACATATGTATGTATGAATGTGTTATTAAATGAATGCATATGTACGTATATACACATAGAAGAACGAAAACAAAAATGCTAGGCCTTATTTTTTACCTGATCTTTAGGCTACTTGGTAAACCGATGAAAAGAAAAATTGTAAAATGTTAAATATTGTAGCGGTTGTTCCTGTACAGTGCAAAGGTGTTGACAACATCAAAAATACGATGTTAAATTGGTATAAGGCATTGATTCACCACGCACGAGGGTACATGGCTCGAGTTCTAATTTTTATGTTATTCTTATTATCTTAAGTATATATTTTTTACTGATTCACTTTTATTTGTATATCGCTATAAATGATATAACATATATATATATATAGTATATATATGTATGTATATACATATATTATCATATGTATATATAGATAGATACCAATCTGACAAAAAATACAGTTTTTTTATATTGTGGATATATTTTGTCAATGTTAAATTTTCTGTTCGTTGAACCTGTGCGTGAAAGAGATTGTTGTTAAACTGAACAGGAAGTTCGTGCGTGGTAGTGGAAGAAAGTAACACTCCTTTGTAACATTTAGACTGCGTGCAGTCATAGCCACAATCCGGAAACACGAATCAGCTTTTTACATCGATTCAACCACAATGCTTCAGACATTCAGGCAAACTATAAGGTTTCAAATACATTGACGGATAATAATGTAAGCATCAAGCTGCTGTGTACATTCTTATCCTAATTATACAGATTTCGTTGGAGTCTTGACGTCTCTGTTTTTGTGAATAATTTTGAGAAGATGCTGTTACACACACAAACATACTTATTCGTTCACTCGATTACTGTGCCGCTCAGTTATGCAATATACACTGCAGTTGTACATTAAAACTTATGTATCTTATCAAAAGGAGAACAAAGAAAAGAGAGACGTGGTCTTCCGATGCTCGACTACTTGTGACTATTGATGATAGTGTATTTTATCAAGAAAATTGCTAATTTTAAAAAGGTGTATGTCCGTGTATCAAAAGTGAATGTACAGGCAATTTTATTACTCGAGATAATAATTTAATGTTGATATATTTTGCACAAATCATTATTAATATTAATAAACAATTAATATTACCACTGTTGTATTATTCTTTTCTATTGTCTCTATATTTTCAGGCTGTAAAGATATGAATATGGATATGGATATGAATGCTGTAATTTAATAATTGTAATTAGGGATTGTAAGGTGAATTATGGTATTGAAGTATAACAGAATTTTCCTACAACATTACTTAATTTTATTAAAAATGATAACATTGATAATCATTGTACAACTATAGATAATTTACCCTTCCCGTGTATTAAATATTAAGTTGTAGCATAACATTGTAAACAATGTTATTGTAAATAGTATAAATGTATATGTAAGCGGAACTGCGTGAAGAAAGCATGTCCTGTAGAGCAGCGAGAGCTTTTGACGGTGCGTACAAGTTTCTTCTCTTTTACATCCTATATTGGTATAATGACCTCCACACAAATTTTTCGTCATAAAATTAAATTTTGTATCTCTAAACTGTATTCTTAAAAGTATTTTGATAAAGTTTTGTAATGTACCATTAAAGAATTAAAATTAATAACAATTTTTGCTCAGCAATGGAGACCTTATACTAATTGAATACAATTTTATGTTCTAGGAGAAAATCGCTACTCAAACAAGCAACCAGCCCTGAAGACTTCATTTAAAATTTGCATTTTGTGGTAATTGAAGCACTTCGATCATTTTAAACTAGAAGACCAAGAAGAACATCATCTTCTGCCCTCCACGACCGCCATGTTGGTCTCCATGGCTGCTTTCTTCACAAAGGACGCATTTTTCAAAAGGAGCACTTGCTCCTCCGAACTAAACCGTAACCACTCTACATTGTGAAATACTGCATACGAATACATTGCCTGTACTTTTTCCTACACGTTATATTATTTTTTATTCGAATTACTAGTTTGCAGACTTTGTGTTCATGTAAAAAGAAATGTTTGAAAATTGAAAATCCGATACAATGTATTCTGAATCAAATAAATAGGTGTTCGTCTTTAGTTTTCACAAATTCGATAAAAATATCTATACGTGAACATCTGCAACCTATTAATTTCACATGTAATCGATTAATTCCATTCGTTGTAGTTAAGTATCGTTATCGAATCTAAACATTGCTAATTGGAAACGTGTAGAAAATCTTTTCAATATTAATTACTTCTCTATTTTATCGTTTCTAGAGATGTACCCTTACAAAATAGTGTCGAAATTACTTAAAAGCAATTGCAAGACGGTGTAACGTATCTATGAAACGTGAAATAGGTTCGTTTCAATTTGAGCATGGACCTCCTTGGTCTTTGTATAGCAATTCGAGTATGGCTTCGCGTAACGAGCAAATATTTAATTATAGTTACGTTACTAGTCCATTATGTTGTACAAAATGGTTCGACAGAATTTTCCTCCGTTAAGTACAAAATCTAGAATTGTGCCTTATCGAAATACTGTAACTAATGTTGCTAGCTTTACACCACCTTGAGTAGCTCTAAGGTATAAATTAACTTAACATAATAATTAACTTGTCATTCTCCGATGAACGTCGATAAAAAGAATCGTTATTTTCAAATCGTGCGATTACGAGTTTAAAAATAATTCGATACAGTTGCGTTGGTGTTGTTCATTTGTTAAACGATTACAGAAACAGATTTTCGATGGTCGTATTGAAGAATCGAACGAGGCAATCTTTATATGCGAATGATTAATTCATGGTAATTAATTAAGAAACACAATCTATTCTCATTCACGAATAAGATTACGTCTTTGCAGTGGCCATGAATTTCTTAAATTTATGCGATGTTCCGTGTCTTAACAAGAAGATAGATCAGGTGATAATTCGAATTATAATTACTAGAGACTGGCGGATGTTTAGAACAATCCGTATTTCCATATATTATTAATCTTCAATAAGCAGAGTTAAGTAACGTTGTATTGCACGTATTGTGAGTTCATCGAGTTAATAACAAAATAAGGAAAGTCTTTGCATTTTTATCGTCTAGTAATTACATTTAGAAGCCATAATCTTAGCGATACACTTATGCGTGTGCAAAGTTAAAATTCTTATTTCGATAGAAATTTGAATTCTTTCAGATTCGCCGCTACGTATTTTCAAATTGCTTAGCAAGCGAGTTTAATGGCTTTGAAAATGGTTCGAAATGACCGTTGAAAGAGGTTAACGATAGTTCTCAATAAACTAATTTAGATGCGAAAAGATAATATTTCAAGAGACGAATCTCGGCGTTTATTATAAATATTCCTAAAAAAAAAAAAATTGGTATGTCAGTCGCTACGTGATTACATTTTCAAACGTAATCAATACATAGAATAGATTTTCCGTTATGCATAATTCCAAATATAGAATACAGTTTTCCTCCGTACCGTCGCATTTTCATCTCTGCCATCTCGCGACGTGATCGCGAAATGGCAGCGAAACTGTCAGCCAATCAGAGGCGAAGGCAAAAAAATAGTTCCGATCGCTTCCGACGGTGTCGCTTCGTCTCGCAAAGCCGCACGAAGTTCCAACGGAAAGGCAGCCATAACTTGCGCGCGTCTCAGTTTGACCAAGCGACATCGTTCGAAATCGCTTCGCACATAATCAAGGTAAATACCACCAATTGTTCAAAATTTTCCTCGTTAGAACTGCGTTAAAACTATCAATAGTAACACTAGGGACGGAATTATACCAACATATATAAAAAACTATCATCTTCTGTGATAATAATCCATCTCGAAAGTCTCGCATTCGTGGCTCGAGGCGTCGGTACCTAAACCCGTCAGCCTCTTTCGATTTTTCATCGTTTTATTTTTTCCCCTCACGATTATCAATTCTATCAATATTCACAACGCTCCAAAATTCGTTGTTTCTCTGTGTGCTGCAATTTCGTCTATGTAAGGTATCAGACTATGAAAACTAAATTGTGTAAAACGAAAGTAGACGAACATCAACTACTAATCTTTAGTCCGGCTATTTCCGAGAATCGTACGAAGATCAATTGAACTGTCGATCGAACCGCCGTGAACAGAGAATTCGATAAATAATTTCAGTCGACGTGAAAATCCTGTCGATCGAAAACGGTCGCGATCGAATCCGAAGCAATGGCCGCGCGCACGCGCGCGGCAAATTCGAACGACTGCGAAGATCGTCCCGTGCAAATACTGTGTAGATGTAAAGTATAATATAAAGTGAAAACGCGACCCGGGTGTACTTGTTTTATTTCGACGTGTACTTGTTCGCAGGACGACGCGCGTACACGCCGAGTTCACGTATCGTTTGCCCCGAATCGCTGGCTGTGATTGCGAAAAAGCTGATGAAGCTTGCGGAACCGTTGTCTTTTCCCGGAAACGTAACTGCGACTTGGATAAAACGGAAGCGGAAGCTGTTCATGTGTAAAGTCCTGGGTGGAAAATGAGAATCAGTCGGCACTGTTTTCGTCGACGAGAACAGAACGACTGGGGGCTGGATGAACATGCCGCGTGGATCAGGTAAATGCGCATGCTCGTTCTCAAGCGTTCGATGGCGCGCAAATTTTAACTAACATAATCCGCAGAGTCCATGTCGTACAACGACCCGCCCTCGATGTCATCCGCCGTCGTGTTTTGACGGCAGTGGTAAACGTACGCCCTCATTGAGACGTTCTCGCCGGTACGCACGCATTTGTAAGTCTCGTCCGGACATCTGCACCTGGAAAGTAATAGAAACGATTTTTGTACAGGAGCGTTCCATGAGTTTTCAAGGCAACAGAATCGTGCCTTATCGTTCAAGGCGACAGAAGGGCTTCAATTACTTCTGGTCGTCATCAGAACCGGTTGTCGTCGTTCAGCTTGTTTTCAACGATGTAAGTTTCAGATTTAATTGTTATTTAATTATTTTATATGTACTCTTGCGTTGCAGGGTAGGCAGTGAACGGTTCATTGTTAAATTGCTCATGCTTATTGACTTAATTACAAGACACGATAATAAACTCCAACAGGATGTTGATGTTTAGAGATTTCTATTAAGCGTTTTCTCCAGGCATAATCCTCTGCATCGATACGTAAGAAAAGAAGTAGAACAAGAAATAGATGTTCATTTAAATTGCATCCTTTCAAATCGATTAGCATAAATATATAATCATACAAAAATTCATACGACGACCGTATAACGTTGCTTGTTCCAAGCACATATTTCTTTCTTAAATAATTAGATTTGTGCGCAACCATTAAATTCGCATTCGAATGAGATGTTAATGATATGCTCATTAGTATGTTCATTAACGATCCCCGGTGCACAGTTAAATTACAGCGGTGGGTTGGAACGGTAAAAAATTAATGAACGAATTTGAATGGAAACTGGCGACAGAGATTAAAGATTCATCGTAAACCCGCCGACAAACGATAAAACATTTACTGCCTCCTTTTTACTTGGCGGGGTTACTGCGTACAGGCCAGTTCATTCATAAAGATCGAGCTTTATCGGCCTGTTTTTTGCTTATTCGAGATAAGTAATGGACGTAAAACGGGAATCGTAAATACTCGACGGTTTTTCGTGGTCCTCGGGAAGCCGCCGAGCAAACATCTTGGTAACGTGTGTTCATTCATAATCGATAAGAATGCGCGTTATCGTCAACAAATTTTCTGCTTAGCTCGCATTTATCGCGATCGTCTCGAGAAAAAAATGAAAATTCACGTGATTAATCGCGATTCGCTGACGACTCTTATTTCTCATTAAACAAATCTCGTTTTCTGTCCGTTTCAGCAAAATATTTTGCAGTTTGTTTGTTTTCACTTCTTCTTCTTTTTCTCACTCATTTTGATAATCATCTTAAGACTCGACGCGCTGACAATTATTTGTGACTTGCTCGCTACTTTAGTCTCAATATCCTACGTACCGAAAATATCGTTTCCATTCTTATAATCATTGTAATATTATTTTTGTAGCGTTACTCACGTGTTGGCCATGAAAACCGTGGCTCGCCGAGTATCGGTATGGAAGGGGTTCCATCCGCACGGGGTGTCGTAACATTTCCGTTGAGGTTTGTCGTCGATTTGGCTCTCGGTGGCTCTCTGAGACCTCAGACCGTCAGGATTCATGTCGTGAACAATGCGTCGCAGCTGCTCCGCGAATTCCTGTGAACAAGCACATGGAAACTGAACTTTTTTTTATTCCTTCCTATTGCTAATTTTCATCGACTGTTTATTAATTGCTAGATTGAATCGGCAAAGCTATCGGAACGATACCAGAACATGGTTATTATTGATTAAACATCTATTCGACTCCAGTTTTCTGAAATCAACGGAGAAAGTTTACAGTTTGTCTAGTCTACTGATCAGACCATCAGACAGATAAACGTAGCCGAAAGTGATTAAACGAAAATAGCGAGGTATATCGTGTCGTTTATTAGAACTTCGTACACGTTGTCTGAAATCGATATCGTCGATTGTCGATCGTCGATCGTCGCAGATGCGTGTGCTGAGAGAGCCGAATCTAAATTGTGTGTCCCGATGAAAGTGAAATGACTTCGTCAGAGGAGATAATGTTTCTTCGCGTAAGCATAATCGTGACTTACTCGTACGAGTAAGCACTTTTTCTGCCATTCGATCATCGCGAGGGCTGCTAACTTGAACGATTTTTGGGCGTTGCCTAGAGAGAACTTTCACTGGAATCGGAGACCCGATACCCTCAACAAAATTAATAATTACTTATACTAATATATATATATATAGTATATAGTATATATCAATTACGTGTATGTATATAATATATACTATATTTGCTCGTAATTGACGGAATGTTTTTCTTACAGAATGGAAGATACATGATCTCTGTGTTTGTTTGGAATAGTGGAGCACGAACAAGCGTAACAGATAACCGGGCTTATGGCGAAATTTGAGCGATTATCTTTCGCGCGCGTTTAACGCTCAATCTTTTCGTCGCGGTGAGGGTCAGTGCTATTGATTTCGCGTTTGGAAAATTTTAGGCCTCTTCGTAGAATTTTAGGACACTCGGTGTCGCGAACAACGTACGGATTCTGTTTAGTCCGATGGACAGAAGATATCGTAAAGGAATAAGTAAGCTTTCTTTTAAACGCTGTTTGAAGAAGGGCTGAGTCAGTGAACCGATGATTCGAGGAAGGAAATTATAGACTTGGGAACACGTAGCTTTGTTCCCCGATTGCATCATGTTAGATGGCAGCAGATCACAAATTCTTTCCTTTATATTAAACAGATTTCTTGGCATCGTCGAACAATGTTAATTCGCTTCTCGACAACGGGCAAGCTACTTTCGTTACTTATTTGGCGAACAGACTATCAGATTCTGTAAATTGTTTTACAATCATTTACCACGGAGATATGTTTGCAAACATTCTCCATCGGCAACGGATGAAATCAAATTCTGTTTCACATCCTCGAGAATATAATTTCGATCGAACGATTCGGATTCTGCACTTATCGGAAATCGTAACTGATTCCAGTGTTTCATCGAACAAGGTACAACAGAGTGCTGCAAAATTGTTTCAGTGGAACGAGAATGTCGCGACCAGCCAAGTGATAAAACCTTTCACAATTCTGTCAAATTGTCGAGAACGTGGTTGTCTATATATTAAACAAATCCTGAGCGATTTCACGAACGAGACTCGAGAAGATGAACGATACTCGTTAAAATATTAACGCGTGCACCATCTTTCGAATACAGAAGCGATTAATAATAATAATAATCGCGTTGCGACGATTTCTGCAGAATTTGTAGCGAATCACGTGCGGAACCGACACGATTCTAAAATATTGATCAGCGTGGATGAGGACAGACGATACATTTACGAACGATCGAATAAACATGCGTGCGCGATAAATTGCTACCGAACGTGTTCCTACGATCATTGTACAATCGAGACAATTCGCACGATCGGAGATCCACGAAAATCTGCTCAACGATGATTCCTCAAATCTACATTTCTGTACAAAATGAAATCAACGTTGTGCATTTCATTTAAACAGATCAAGTCATGCGGCAGATCCAACGTTCCATTCACGAAGGATCATTCTCCATTAGATACTCGACTTCCTTCCGAATTATATACCCCGACATAGCCCGCCAGGATCAATTATCGCGCGAACTCCGTTGACAATCATCCGACCATCGGGTAAAGATCCCCGAAATCCCCGGAAAACAGAGTGCCCTCGCGGTCCATAAACTCTGATAGGAATCCGTAGAACGGGACCATAATTCAGTAGAATAAGGAAGCTCTCTCTCTCTCTTTTTCTCCGACCGATATCCCGTCGCGGATGCTATCATTTACGATCTCCGGCAGCCGGAATAAAAATAAAGGGAGGTTTCATCCCCGTGCCGCGGCGAAACGATCGATTACCATTAACATCGCTTACCTCCGATCGCACCGCTGCGCTGAGCGAGAGGGTTGCCAGACACACGACTCCCACTACCGTCACCACCAACTTCAACAATACCGATCTCATTCTGTCAATATTTCGGTCTTTCCGGCAACTTTCTTCGTCGTTGTCCCAGAAGGTCTAAAAGGACCGTTTCTCTCCCTCTAGAGATCCTCCTGTTTCCTCTTCCTCGTTCGCCCCGTCACCCTTCGATCCAACGACACGGACCGCCGGTTCTCTCGGTGTCCTCTGACGATATTTAGGGATCGTCGCCGGTTTCCAGGTGAACCACCTTCGGGATATCGATCGACGCAGTACGATCCTCTAACGATCTCTTCCCCTGCGGGCTTCCGGTGGACTCGCGAGCGATCGCTAGCCGGCGACTGATAAGACCACGGTACGACGATCGGTTTTCCACGCGTGCTACTATCGGTTCGACGGGCTCGGGTAACACGGATTCGGAGTTTAGGCTTCTTCCGACTTTATACATAGACGACGACTCGTATAGAGAATGAGAGGAGGACCGAGCGGCCCGCAGTTTATATAGGCTGTGCTTCTAGTGGCGGGAGAGTCTGTTTAAGAAGGAAGAGGAGGGAGAGGTGGTGCGAGAGGGGAGGGAATATTAAGTATTAACCCTTTCCGGTGGAGAAGCATATTCCCTGGTTTTTTTGTTATTGTTCCGCGGATTAGTTTCTAGCCGCGGATCCTCTTTTTATCGCAACCCGGGATTTTGCGGTTTTATTTTCAACGGCTCCGTGCAACAGACCGGCGGTATCTTCTTCTCGTTGTCGTTGCGACAGGGTTGTTCCACGACGCGTTGCCTGCCGAAACACGATCGCGAAAATTCTCGCGGAATCGCGATGTGCGCTCGATCAACGAGGTGGAATGAATGGTTTCTTGACGTATTTGCGCCCTGATCGTCCCAATAACATTCAGCGATATTCGCAAAAATTAGCGTCGACTGGTTTTTTAACAGTTGACCGGGTCTGAGAAAAGCAGCGATTTTATTAACGAGACAATCGAGTTCGCGGAACCGAAAGCAGGGAGTGTCTTGGTAATTGCTACATCGAACCTGTTGGATTATAAAAGTCCTCGTACGATTTATTTTATGTTAGTTCACTGCGATGGCAATTGGTTTCTAAACCTAGCCGATTTTGTTCGATTTTCTTTAGCCAGTTTGGTTCGATTTACGTTCGATTTTGCATCTCGCGTGCAACTTTGCAGCGGGCTGCAATGCAAATCGTTTTCGAGCCGTGTCAAAGTACGGTGCAGTTTCGTTCGATTTTATCTCTACTTCGAATCTCGTTTGTAATCTTTTTCTATTTTCTTTTTTTTAGGTAGCTCTCCTCTGTTCAGTAATTTTCGAAAACTCGGAGGGAGAAGTTGAGAATCGATAACGCTCGCAGATTACTATCGATATCAGTTTTTCTTCTGCGTTGCGAACGCCGGCCGTGCATCGCATTATCTCGGCTGCAGTTTTGCTTCAGCTTTTGTGGAATCATTGACTTTATCTGAAGGAATGTTACGCAATTAAAACATTCGGTCGCCGATCGCAGAGCAACGTTTGGTCAGCGTCGATGAAGCATTTTAATCGACGGAAGATGTATGTAATTCGTGTAACGATCATCGACGTCACTGGAATTTTCCTACTCGTGCCGTTACGGGGATAATCCTGCAAGGGCTGTCTCGCCAATGGGAGCTCGCTGTTTCATCGCCGGTGGTTGCATAAGGAAAAATTAATAAACATCATAAGTGTCGTCGGCGAAAGAAATTAGACTTTAATCGGCGTTTATTGGCCGCATAAATATTCCAAGTTTCCGGTACAAATTCACAAGAACCAATCGAGCAAATGTGTTTATTGAGGTTCAAGTTCAATTATCCTATCAAGTTACGTTTGATTTATCGCTGCTTGCATTGCTGGTTCGCGCAAAAATCTCGCGTTACGTTTGTACAGTGTCGCGCGGCGTCGAAGCGGTTTATCGAAGCCTGGAAATATTCGTAACGCCTTAGCCGCCTTCGTTATTACATATAGATGATAACGTTCCGAGCTATGCTCCGAGTTATGCTACACAGATGTAATCGGTTCGAGGAGTTTCGTTCTGCGATATTCAAAAAAATTCACAATACTGTAACAAGATGCGCGTAGAATTTATTTACCGTCGAATACGAGCTGCACGCTAAATTTCACGATTAATTGTTAATAATATAATAATATAATAATATAATAATATAATAATATAATAAGTTAATCAACGCTGCATTCTAGATCCGTAACTCTACAAACGAATCACCGGCAGCATTTGCTAGGCTTTAACATTGGGCAACGTCGATTTTTCGAAACTGTCCGCACTGTCCAAATATTTGTTCGTTAACTTTAATCCTCGAGCATCTATTGACTGTACTAAGTCAACACTTGTGCCGTCAGCAACGTGTTGCACTATCGGAGACTCTATCGGAGACAGAGACGCTCTTCCGTAAATACGTAACCTGCGTCATCAATGGCCCACGATCGTCTTACGCCATCGGTTATCGTACTGGCTTATCCAGATACGTGAAAATGGATTCCGGGCAGAACTCGTCGGGCCCGGTCCAAACCGGGTTAGAATCGCCGGACAAATGTAATCAGACCGGCAATTACCGGATGGACGATATTTCAGATAGAGCAACTTGTTCCTCGAAGCGGGATCGAATCACGGTCCACCTCTGCTAGTTTATAAACTCTCTATAATCGGCAACTGAGCGCAGCTGCGAAGAAAATCGTGCAACAAAAGATCACAGTCGCGCGCCCACGTGGGCGAGACACCTAATTCTTAACCAAGTTTCGAAACTACGCTAAGACTTCGCTAAGATTTATCGAAACACGTCACCGCGATCTTTCGGATGCGAAACTTTCAGCTTCGTAGCTTTCGATCACTAATTAATCGAATCGTGGCAATTTTTCAGAGTCGACGAACGACGCTCGCCGCGTTCAAGAATGCATAGAAGCGGTTGCTCCCGAGATTTCGCGAAGCTGCACCCCGAGCATCCCCCGAGAGGCCGGTCTGCGGTCGAATCTCCGATCTCGGTTGCATTCACCGCGTCCACCACGAGGAATCGTCGCCGACGGAAGCCCGAGGGATTTTCCAAGAAAACCACGCGGTCCCACGATCCGTCGTTATCTACGCGGCGCATCGGAATCTTCGAGACAGCCCTGTCGGGCCAGCCGGTATTGATATTCCCCTCGTGTTCCCAACCGATCGGAGGCTGAAAAGTGGAACAATCGATTCCAAGTAAACATCAGCGACAAGCTGGCCGCGGGATCGACACCACACGAAGAGAGGAAGAAGATTGGTGGGCAGCGTTGTTTACCGCGGCGCATCGCGAGGCCGGAGAAGAGAGGATCGTCGTCGCCCACGGGCATTTGTTAGTTCGACGACAGATAAAACGCACGTGAGTCAGTGATGCTGTTTGCTGGGGCTTGTCGGGGGCACGTCACCATCCCGGCCAATGGCGAACGCCGGTCAACGTGACGTCCGATCGCCTCATGCCGGCCGGGAACACGATCCATCTATCTCCTCTCTCATTGACTTGCTCGGATCGTCTTGTCCGGATTCCACGACGCGTGAAACGGGGCAAAAACATTTTTCCGTCACCCTCGCGCGCCTCCGGCCACCGGCCGTCGCCCATCCGTGATGCGATCGTGTCGGTACCACCGCACGGAAGAATTTTCGCCGTTTTCCGTTTTCCGCGTTAAGACCCTTCCCCGCCGCCGCCGCCGCGTTCCGGAGTTGCAAATTCTTCGCGGCAGATTGAACTTAATTCGCGACCGCATGGTCGGCTCGTTTCGCTGACTGTACACCCGCAAACATTGTTCTTTCGCGAGACGCGCCGCGATCGTTCGTTGCCGTTGCGTCGATCGGGCCCGTCGCGATCGAGATTCTTTTGCTGTTCGTTCGTCGTCGAATTCGGTTGTTCTAGGAACCGCGGAACGAACTCTTTTGAAATTCTAAGGCTGGATCGAGCCTAATTCGCTGCCAATAGTCTGTCGATACTGGCGAGATCACTGTAAATATTTCAGCCGTTTATTTTTAAAGAGTCCGTTTGTCTCGGAATCCAGACGTTTGCAGATTTTGCGTTTTAATAAATTGAGAAATATTAGTGAAATGAGAAACGTGGAAATGTAAATGTTAACAATCGAGTGACCGCATATTGTTTTTATTGTTTGTTAGGCTTGCTCTAAGACCGCGGTATGCTTCGAGCATCTTCTGGTAACATTTTTGCTCCGGGATCGNATTAATTGTTAATAATATAATAATATAATAATATAATAATATAATAATATAATAATATAATAATATAATAATATAATAATATAATAAGTTAATCAACGCTGCATTCTAGATCCGTAACTCTACAAACGAATCACCGGCAGCATTTGCTAGGCTTTAACATTGGGCAACGTCGATTTTTCGAAACTGTCCGCACTGTCCAAATATTTGTTCGTTAACTTTAATCCTCGAGCATCTATTGACTGTACTAAGTCAACACTTGTGCCGTCAGCAACGTGTTGCACTATCGGAGACTCTATCGGAGACAGAGACGCTCTTCCGTAAATACGTAACCTGCGTCATCAATGGCCCACGATCGTCTTACGCCATCGGTTATCGTACTGGCTTATCCAGATACGTGAAAATGGATTCCGGGCAGAACTCGTCGGGCCCGGTCCAAACCGGGTTAGAATCGCCGGACAAATGTAATCAGACCGGCAATTACCGGATGGACGATATTTCAGATAGAGCAACTTGTTCCTCGAAGCGGGATCGAATCACGGTCCACCTCTGCTAGTTTATAAACTCTCTATAATCGGCAACTGAGCGCAGCTGCGAAGAAAATCGTGCAACAAAAGATCACAGTCGCGCGCCCACGTGGGCGAGACACCTAATTCTTAACCAAGTTTCGAAACTACGCTAAGACTTCGCTAAGATTTATCGAAACACGTCACCGCGATCTTTCGGATGCGAAACTTTCAGCTTCGTAGCTTTCGATCACTAATTAATCGAATCGTGGCAATTTTTCAGAGTCGACGAACGACGCTCGCCGCGTTCAAGAATGCATAGAAGCGGTTGCTCCCGAGATTTCGCGAAGCTGCACCCCGAGCATCCCCCGAGAGGCCGGTCTGCGGTCGAATCTCCGATCTCGGTTGCATTCACCGCGTCCACCACGAGGAATCGTCGCCGACGGAAGCCCGAGGGATTTTCCAAGAAAACCACGCGGTCCCACGATCCGTCGTTATCTACGCGGCGCATCGGAATCTTCGAGACAGCCCTGTCGGGCCAGCCGGTATTGATATTCCCCTCGTGTTCCCAACCGATCGGAGGCTGAAAAGTGGAACAATCGATTCCAAGTAAACATCAGCGACAAGCTGGCCGCGGGATCGACACCACACGAAGAGAGGAAGAAGATTGGTGGGCAGCGTTGTTTACCGCGGCGCATCGCGAGGCCGGAGAAGAGAGGATCGTCGTCGCCCACGGGCATTTGTTAGTTCGACGACAGATAAAACGCACGTGAGTCAGTGATGCTGTTTGCTGGGGCTTGTCGGGGGCACGTCACCATCCCGGCCAATGGCGAACGCCGGTCAACGTGACGTCCGATCGCCTCATGCCGGCCGGGAACACGATCCATCTATCTCCTCTCTCATTGACTTGCTCGGATCGTCTTGTCCGGATTCCACGACGCGTGAAACGGGGCAAAAACATTTTTCCGTCACCCTCGCGCGCCTCCGGCCACCGGCCGTCGCCCATCCGTGATGCGATCGTGTCGGTACCACCGCACGGAAGAATTTTCGCCGTTTTCCGTTTTCCGCGTTAAGACCCTTCCCCGCCGCCGCCGCCGCGTTCCGGAGTTGCAAATTCTTCGCGGCAGATTGAACTTAATTCGCGACCGCATGGTCGGCTCGTTTCGCTGACTGTACACCCGCAAACATTGTTCTTTCGCGAGACGCGCCGCGATCGTTCGTTGCCGTTGCGTCGATCGGGCCCGTCGCGATCGAGATTCTTTTGCTGTTCGTTCGTCGTCGAATTCGGTTGTTCTAGGAACCGCGGAACGAACTCTTTTGAAATTCTAAGGCTGGATCGAGCCTAATTCGCTGCCAATAGTCTGTCGATACTGGCGAGATCACTGTAAATATTTCAGCCGTTTATTTTTAAAGAGTCCGTTTGTCTCGGAATCCAGACGTTTGCAGATTTTGCGTTTTAATAAATTGAGAAATATTAGTGAAATGAGAAACGTGGAAATGTAAATGTTAACAATCGAGTGACCGCATATTGTTTTTATTGTTTGTTAGGCTTGCTCTAAGACCGCGGTATGCTTCGAGCATCTTCTGGTAACATTTTTGCTCCGGGATCGCCATCGAAAGCTTCTAGATTTATGCTTCCGTCCCTTCTTGTCCAAACATCTTCGTTTCCCGATTGTTCGAAATTGTTCGCCGATTGTTCGTCTCGACATTGAAATCTAGCGAACGATCTTTTAAGTGTTAAAACACAGCTAGCTCGACGGTTTCGGAGAAAAACGGACTTAGGCCACGTTCGTTCTCTGCGGGCCACAATCGCGATCCTTTTAACGGCTGTCCTCTCATTCGATCGTCGATACGCCAGTTGTAAACGGAGACTCGCAGATCCTAATTCACGATCGGCTAGTCAGTAAAAACGTGCTAAAAACGCTGCGAGCGTTCGCCTAACGGCAGAGCTGATCGCTCCCTTCCGAATCGATCGGTGGATCATTAGTCAGAATCCTTTCGCTGTTCGCTCTTTCTTTTTGGCCGTTGATGCGCCTTGGGAACTGTAAAACGAGTTCTCGCAAGTTCTTGGTAGGAGAGCAACTAGACTGAACCTAACTCGCGGCAGATGTCCAATTGATTCCCCTAACATTGCTGCAAATGTTTTTCTACCGCCAGATGCGTCACTAAACTATACTAAAAAGCCATCCTGTCGAGAACGGTGCAAGTATTTTTCTTTCCGAATCGCGTCTTGTCTGATAGTAGACAGAGAATCAAGCCGAATAAAGTATCGAATCTCCTTTTAGCCTGTCTGGAATCTTGGGTGACTCGGTCGTCGTCGTCGTTCCAAGGTCGTAGAAATACAATTTTTAAGGGAACACCGCCTCGCGAAGCGTTCCCAATTTTTCAACGGCGCGTTCTTCGATCCGGATCGATCGCATTCCGCGATCTGCGGAATCAGCCGTGTTCCGTGGAAATATTTTTGCCGCAGCGTGTATAGTTCGCGGCGGATAGGCGGTTCGTTTAATTTTAGTCGACCGATTACAAAATGATCTTCTTCTTCTGGCCCTACACCGCCTCAGTTTGGCAGTCGATGTGAGAAACGGCACGTAGACCACCGCCATTGCCGACTGTCTTACCTGCCCTCTGTCACGTATCTACTCGGAAAAACCCCCGAGATCAATTATCCGTGGCTTCGAGACCGCGGCAGCTTAGCCGACCCAACCCTAATTGACTAATAGACTAAATCTGTAGCCTCATCGTTTCCGAAAGGCGACGGAATATTTCTGTCACTGACTCATCGATTTGTGTCGGAGCCTCTCTTCGCGGTTTACTACACGACGCTCGTTCGGTAAGTTCATTCATCAGGGGGTGAACTGGGTTTCGAGCCGGTAAACGCGAATCCGATTTTATTTATTTACTGATATTCCATTTTTATGTACTGATATCTCTCTTTATATATATTCAGTAAATAAATCGATCAATATATGGAAAGTTAGCCATTAGTTATAACATTACAAAGAAAAAGAGAAAAATACGAAAAGGAATCGTGTGAGACACCTGTTACAACGTCGTCTGCGCAACAGAAATCACGCTCGAGCAATAATCATCTCTTCCCCGCCTCTTCGACCGTTTCCACGAATTGTTTTTAGGATTCGGTTTGAAGATGGTCCGCGGGGAGATAAGTTCTTGATATTCGAATCAAACATGCTCTCTCTCTCTCTCTCTCTGTCTCTAACTCTTCTTCGCTCTCTCGCTCCCTTGCTCTTCTCTCTCTTTCTTCTTAGCTCTCTCGTTCCCTCGCTCTTCTCTCTCTCTCTCTTCTTCGCTCTCTCGCTTTTTCTCCCTCTCTCTCTCTTTTCTTCGCTCTCTCGCTCCCTCGCTTTCTCTCTCTCTCTCCCTCGCTTTCTCTCTCTCTCTCCCTCGCTTTCTCTCTCTCTCTCCCTCCCTCCCTCTCTCTCTCTCTCTCTCTCTCTCTCTCTCTCTCCCTCCCTCTCCTTCCACCCCGATCTCTATCATTTGCGCACGTCCGCGCACGCTTGCTCGTCCGTTCTTCTTTTTAGGCGGCTTTCTTATGTCAACCGGATTGCATCACCGGCGAAACGTAAACCGGGCGAAATTTCGTGCGCGCATATTTTTCCGCGAGAAACTGCGCTTCGCCGAGATATCGAGTTTCGATTAGACGGTTCCGCAATACCGCAATCTCTCGATGAAGGCCGCAAAGAACGGGGGTGGGTCGCGCCGACGACGAATTCCGCCGATTCGCGGTGGCCACGCGGCCCCACGCTCTGCCAACACGTGGATCCACCCTCTATCGAAACCCGAACGCGACCGCGAACTTGACCGGTAGACTGCAGATGTTCCTGCGGACTTCGATTTTGCCGGAATCGATGTAGAAATCCGCTGAAATCGTCGCTAAATGTAATCGCGTCACCTAACGATCGGTTTTGAAATCTGAAACAGGGTGAACCTATCAATNCTCTCTCTCTCTTTTCTTCGCTCTCTCGCTCCCTCGCTTTCTCTCTCTCTCTCCCTCGCTTTCTCTCTCTCTCTCCCTCGCTTTCTCTCTCTCTCTCCCTCCCTCCCTCTCTCTCTCTCTCTCTCTCTCTCTCTCTCTCTCCCTCCCTCTCCTTCCACCCCGATCTCTATCATTTGCGCACGTCCGCGCACGCTTGCTCGTCCGTTCTTCTTTTTAGGCGGCTTTCTTATGTCAACCGGATTGCATCACCGGCGAAACGTAAACCGGGCGAAATTTCGTGCGCGCATATTTTTCCGCGAGAAACTGCGCTTCGCCGAGATATCGAGTTTCGATTAGACGGTTCCGCAATACCGCAATCTCTCGATGAAGGCCGCAAAGAACGGGGGTGGGTCGCGCCGACGACGAATTCCGCCGATTCGCGGTGGCCACGCGGCCCCACGCTCTGCCAACACGTGGATCCACCCTCTATCGAAACCCGAACGCGACCGCGAACTTGACCGGTAGACTGCAGATGTTCCTGCGGACTTCGATTTTGCCGGAATCGATGTAGAAATCCGCTGAAATCGTCGCTAAATGTAATCGCGTCACCTAACGATCGGTTTTGAAATCTGAAACAGGGTGAACCTATCAATCGGTACACTTGGGGTTGTTTGTTCGGATCTGCTGAACTCTCTGGATCACCCTAAACATACGAGGTATTGCGATTCATTGAGTAAAAATGTGTAAGTCATCTTTTGCGGATGTCATCGGATCTTCATTTTTGCATTTTTTGTGGAACAATTGTTTCTTAAATTATAGCTTTCGAATTTTTCACAGAGCGTACCTCACGACTCCGGCACTCTTAGGGGTGATTATTGGATTTATTAACACTAAATCTATCACCGTCGGCCAAACGACCGGTTTCGCATTTTTTGTCTCATAATTATTCAAGTCGTAAAGCTGCCGCCATTAAAAATTGTTGAATATGTTTCTTTGCACAGGCACGCATTATTAGGAAAATTGTGAAAAACTTGAATAAATTCTTTCTTGTAATTCTCATGGAATTGAAAAAATTGCCGGTAGATATAGGCGACGAACATACCTGTGACCCTGAATTTCAGTTTCTTTAAGGGTTTTTAACGCGAGGCTCGAATAATCGGATTTCCTCTTCTGAAATTCTGCATTTTTGTGCGCAATTTGAGCGCGAATCGGGAAGAAATTATTGTACCGCGGCTTCTGCGTACACGGGAAGGCTTAGGGGTGGTAGCTGGGACCACGTGGAACGGAGCCTTGAACACGAGTTTCGCGCATGAACTAAAGAACACTGACGTAACCTCGACATAATAATAATAATAGTAATAGAATAATAATAACGGTAATAATGATAGAACAATAATATTAGTAATATTAGTAGTAATAATAGAATAACGATAACAGTAATATTAATAGAACAATAATAAAAATGAAAATGAAAAGAATACGATTAAAATATATAAAGCAAACACAAACTAAACATCGTAGCTCCTAATAACGGTAAAAATTTATTGACTAATTTTAAAATTAGTCAAAGAGCGAATGATTCTGACGAATCGACTCGTTCCCGTGTTTCGTTGGTTTGTGCTTGGACGATGGAGATTCTGCGATTAGAGAGAGCAGCCTACGCAAGCTCGAAGAAAAAGAGCGCGCTAAGGCCAGAGCTCCCCTATAGAATATAAATAGGGAAAAGCACGTTGCGAGGACGGTAACGTTTGATTTACATGGTACATTTAGTCGGCGGCAGGCAATCTGCCAACGGAATATTACGTTATTTTCAATAGCGGTGCTTGAATTACTGTGATCGGCACCACTGAAAATACATATATTGTTTATTATTCCGTTGAAACGTCCACAGCGACGATCGAGGGGGTGGCGCGGCGACGTTCGAGAAAAATTCACCTGTGGGGAACAATTTCTTTTTAACTGTGAGAAATCGGAGTCGTGCGAAACGTAATCTCCGATCAACGATTGTAACTCGTTAATTAATATAATTAATGTATGTACAACTATATAACAAATAGATGTACAACTCTATACAGGTGGTATAATAACTAATTGTTGCGTAACTTATGGTTATAATAACTGACGAGTCACGATCGTTAATCATTTTTACATAATTTATGGTCATAATAACTAACGAGTCGTAATCGTTAATCATTGTTGTCCAACTTATGGTTTATAATAACTGTCGGGTCGTAATCGTTAATCATTGTTACGTAACTTATGGTTATAAGAACCAACAAGTTGTAATCGTTGATCGTTAACCAGATTTGCCAATGTAATGTCAATGCAACATTCGGTTTTCCGGCCAAATAAAAAGATAGAAATAATTATTATGAACAATCTGTATGTGAGAGCCGTTTATTTTGAAAGTGGCCTATAAGTCCGTTTACTTTAAAATCCAGATATTTAAGGATTTTTGCGTTTTAACAAATTGACAAATATTGGTAACTCATAACAAGGGTTCTAAGGGTTATTGTGTTCTAGAGGTTTCGCTGAAACGAAATGATATATAACCTAGAAATGTAAATATTAAAATAGCTGGCTCGATGTTATCGGAAAATGGACTTAGGCCACTTTTGAAAGAAAAAAACACGCTCGTACACGCTTTCGTATCGCTTTTGTATTTCTGGTCGCAACGACTAACCGGTTAATCGTCGAAATGCCAGAGCTTGCAGAAACGAGCGTCTCGATCGAACAAACAATGAATCAATTCACATTGATCGGGAATGTTTAAGGGGAACAGAGGATTGTTCAAGAAACGGAATGTGTTCAGTCGCGACGGAAGGGATCGGTGTTTCTGTGAATGGGGAAAGGGACGCGCGCGTGAAAACCGACATCATGCTGTTGATCACGTACGTCGGAACACCGTACCAGGAATTCTTACGTCTGCCGGTTATCGTGAGTCCCTAATGATGCTAGATCATCCACGGAGACCGGAGGAGTTCCCCGAAAAAAGGAGCACCGCGATCTGTAAGCGATTAGAGAGAACAGCTCGTCGTTCTGCCGAGTTAGGTCAAGGGAGGAAACGTTCCATCGCCGTGCCCGTGGAAACTGCTGCTGACGATGCAATCTCCTGTACAGGGTGTAATAAATACTGCCTGTTATTATCATCGCATCCGGATGTCGGGAGTCGATTACGCATCGATTTTCTCGAAACGACCTTACGCCGATGCGGTTTCTCAAAATTTGACGTCTTTCGAACCGTTTGGAGTAAATTATTCTAATAGCGGTTTTGTATTTTCTCCATTCGTTTTTGCTAGAAGTGCATAAAATTCGCTGTACAATAATAGCATCTTCTTGATAATATTCGTTGATATTCATTGATAATATTCACTGATATTCATTGATAATATTCATTAATAATACTCATTGATATTTATTGATAATATTCATTGATATTTATTGATAATATTCATGGATATTCATTGATAATATTCATTGATATTTATTGATAATATTCATGGAAATTCATTGATAATATTCATGGAAATTCATTGATAATATTCATGGAAATTTATTGATAATATTCATGGATATTCATTGATAATATTCATTGATATTCATTAATAGTATTCATTGATATTCACTGATAATATTCACTGATATTCGTTGATAATATTCATTGATATTCATTGATAGTATTCATTGATATTCATAGATAATATTCGTTGATAATATTCAATACAAAATTAAGCGCACGTTAAATAACTATCTCGATTTCGGTCTCGATCTCGATCTCGATCTCGTCTCGTCTCATTTCTCCTCGATTGTAACGATTGTACCATTTTCAGTTCCCACCGGAAGACACGAACGGCCCGGGGGCCTTGGTCCCTTCTGAGAAGCGCACGCGGAAAAATCGCAATGCATCAAGCGTAATCGAGAGCGCAGCGTCCGCGAATCTCGATCGCCGGACGAATTTCCAAGAATCGTGTAAACGCATTTTCTCGTAAGTCGTCTCCCTGTGTATGTGCCATTTAGCTATTCAGCTACTAAATGTACAGCATTTAATGACCCGCGGGTCAAGGATCGAAATTTACGATGTTCACTGTCGCGTTCGATCGGCCGCACTTCTTTCTGCATTATCGTCGGACGACGTTGCACAAAATAGTCTTGTTACTAGATAGATTAATTGCTTGCACTTCATACGTACATGATCTACCAAGTGCGGATGTCATTCATTTTTCTTTTTTAAATCGAGAGAAAATTTGAGTCTTCTTCGTACAAGAAACGATAATTCTTCTACGGTGGTAATAATAATTACGAAGAAATGTTAATTAAAATACTGTATCTACTGGTTTAGTGTTAAAGTGACTAACAAGTGTTGTCTTATGAGAATTACGAGAAAGTATTTATTGAAATTTTTCATAAATCTTACAAAGAAATATATAAATCTATATAAATACTTATGATATATATGAGTACTTCAATAATTATGAGATATATATATATATATAAATATAATAATATAATAATATAAAGATATATATATAAATATAATATCAATAATTATGAAATAAAAAATGTGAAACCGGTCATTTGACCGACAGTAATAGGTTTATTGTTACTGTAGCTATAAAAGAAATCGTAGTGCAAAGGGTGCAAGGGTGCATGGGAGTGAAATTCGATCTCTTCCTTTGTGAAATTAAAACGTTCCACCCTCTGATAGCCTGAATTTAGAAACTGAACATTACAAACCATCGTACACAAAATGAAATCTCTTCTGCGTACAAAAAAATGATCTACAAACGCGCACGCGACGCAGATCTACCATCTAATCGCAACAATTCCTTTTTTTTTATCGCGAATGTACAAACTCTGGAATTACATGAACACATTTATCTTGTAGAAATATTGCAGATATTTAACGCTTCGATAATCCAATTTAAAGGATTCCACACGGTGGAGATAATGTTCTCGTGTCGCGTGCATTTCCTCACGAATCGGTGAATGCCGCGAAGTGCACGTACATTGCCGAAACAATGCACAAGTTCAACCGACAGGCCGCTCGTCCAAGGCCGCTCGGCCCAGGTGTCCAAGCGTCAACCCGCCGAGGATGATGTCCGTTTATCGATTTCATTCTATAGAATCATCGTTGCGCAATGTTGCGCGTGTTACCGCAATCCGACTGTGATTTCGGCGTTTCGATAGTTTCCGCAGCTGTGTGTATGTCGAAACGTTTGAAAGCAAGTCATAGTGCACGCGAGCGTGTCGCATCTCCGCGCGATAAGTAGACCGCGGATTTATGCATTTATGGAAAAATTCGGTAGTTGCAATTTCAAATAGCGTAAAAAATTGAAAGCATTTTGAAACGTCGACGTATTACTATCAATTTATTAAGCGGATTAAAGGAAAAATGAAATTGCCACTTGGTTTTTCTATTATTCGCGATTCACGTGGACAATTTCGCCTAAAAATCCGCGGTCTAACAACAACGTTTCGCGGGTACAACACTTCGGATCTCGCGCCTCGAACTTGAAACATTTGTCCTACGTATAGAGCACCGTGCAGCGTACAATTCGTCGTAGTTTTCAAAGGGTTTCGCGGAGGCGCGCGTAGGAACGAACAGAAAATTAACGACAGGCACGAAACCAAATTTTCCGAGCGCGTCGGATCGACGGCGCACAGTCATCCGTCGATGACGCACGACGATGAAAGTCGAACGGGGGTAACAGTGGAACTACGCACAAGACCCGGGGCCCCGATATCTCGTTAGATAACAAATGATTAATTTCGACGCGCGGTCATTAATTAGAAGTCGGGAGGGCGGTGCGTGTGCCGCGCGGTTCTCGAAAAGAGCAGCGCGATGGAAGAAGAAAAAAAAGAAAGAAAGAAAAATGAACGGTCGAGAAGAAAAAGGAGAGAAGAAACCGTTGATAATACGTCGATAAACGGGCACGAGGATAGCACGAAGTCGAAAAGATCGACAGAACAAAGATTCTCCGACGATCCGCGTACGACGGCCGCCGCAAGCCCATCCCCATGTGTCCGCGATTTAAGCAACGGGCTGACGCAAGGGGACGGCTGCCAGCAGTCATCGAGTCGAAACCGATGATCGCTTCTTTTTCGACTCGTAATAGCGATGATGACACTTGTGCTCGCGATCCGTCAAGCCGGATCGATTTTCAGCCGGTCAGGTGGGATCTTCGGCCGCGTAACGAGCGGAGTTCGTACATTTTTCGGCGAGGACGGTCAGCGGATTTTTCGGTGGTGCAAGGATTCCTTCGATTCGATCGTCGATCATCGACCATAGTCGAACGTTTTAGGAATTTTTATAGGGTCCTGTTGGAAGTTATCTTTTGAAGGGATTGAAGTTAAATCGGAGACGCTGGATATTGGTTCATGCGAGAGGTTCTGTTGGATCTTCTCGATGATAGAAGGGTGCGAATAATGGGGTGGTTTTCCAGTAAGTGAACACCCCTAGTGGATGAACGTTTTTCGAAGTATGCGAAGACGTTTCACACCCTCATTTCACATCAACGTTTGTCACACCCCCTCTTCGAAGTAAAATTTATACGATAAATTTATCGACTTGATTATTATTATTATTATTATTATTAATATTATTTAATTATATTAATTATATTTTATTATTTATTCAATTATGATGATTATTTTTGTCAATTTATTCGAGCCTTGCAGGTCGTTTTTATAGTTACCGATCGACAACCCCTATAAAAACGAACAACAAGGCTCGATGAATCGTACCTCCCTACATTTACCGTACATCTCTTCACCCTCGCGTCTTCGGCACATCAAAAAGGGATCGTTTACGTTCCAGAAAATCGCGCCACGAAGCAGACTGGACCAGACAACTCGCCGCGTCGAGACGAAGAAAAGCGAGCCACGGGTCCACGGATTCCAGAACGAAACCGTAGCCGACCGAGTGAGTAGCAGCTTTAAAATTCATCGTCTTGAAATGTCCGCTCTAATGTTCGTGTGAAACTGCCTTCATTTTCCCGCAGCCGGGTGCATAAAAAAATTGCATTTCCGCCATAAATATTTGGCGAAGGTGCATCGCGGGGCGCGCGCGCGCGCGCGACGCCGTCGGGTCGCGTGACGGATTCGTTGGCGAAACGCGACTTCCACCGTTGCGTAATCCTGGGATAGGCGGCGATGCCGCGAAAATTGGACTAATTATCGTGTGACGAGGGTACTTAGGCGTGCGGTGCCGTGGATACGTATCGGGTCGGGTCGCCTTTGGCCATCCGGTCGAGCAAAGTGCCGGCTGAACGGCAGACGGCGCGACGCCGTTTATTTGCGTCCATGCGACGGCGATGGGACGCGTCGGGTCGTCGCACAGGTGCGTCCCACGGGTTTCTTGGCTGGCTCGATTCTTAGGCCTCTCGCTTCGTTTCTTGCACGCGGCCGGTGCCATTGTCGCCCTGGCCCCCGTCTACGCATGCCGGATCTATTCGCGGTAGATTAGTTGCTGGCAGACCCGACACCGTCCGATTCGATCCGTCTACGCCCGCAGAACGACGCCGTTGTGTAACGCCGCCGCCTGAAACCAGACTGCGATTTCTCGAGACGTTTGCGCGCGGCCGTAACGCCGGGGTCACACGAATTCTTCGGAACAAGGAGCTTCTGAATTTGGTGACCGCCGCGAGGATTCCCGCTCCTACCGCGGCACCCTTCGACGACGCTCGTTATAGCAATCGCTAGAGCCGCCAAGCGCGGTTTCGCTACGTTTCCTGGCTCAAGGGCCATTTTTCATCGCATTATTTGCTCGGATCGCCGGGGCCGTTGGAACAGGCAAAGCATGCGCTTCGCAGCTTGGATCGTCGGTTTGAAGATCGCGATTTTTGCTGCGTTTCAATACAACGTCGATCATTTGCTGCTAATTACAGTTTCGCTAGCTTTTTTCTGGTTTGTGGGTCCTTTTTCGAGGCATTTTTTTACTTCAAATCGCTGGGACCATTAAAATAGACAAAATAAGCACTTTGCAGCGATCAATTTTTAAGATCCTGAATTTTTGCTGTATTCCATTGTAATATCAATTGTTTGCTGCAGACTTTCGCTATTTTTCGTGGCTCATGCGCCAGCCTTTCAATGATTTCTTTGCTTAGATCGTTGGGGCGTTGAAGTAGAAAAAGTATGCACTTTGCAGCTTGGTTCATCGGTTTGAAGATCCTCGTTTTTCCTGCACTCCGTTACAACACCAGTTGTCTGTTGCAAATTACAGATTCGCCAGCTTTTCTGGCTCGCAGCCACTCCTTCGAAGTTCCTTTTTGTGTTTCGAAACACCATGTTGTTACAATGCCGGTTTTGCAGCTTGCACAACTTGCTTGTAAATCTCCATTCCGGTAGCACCCCTATTCGAGAAGCTTACGATATTGATCACAGCCCGCAACACACAGTTGCATGATCTCTTTTGGCTCGCAGCCTGTTCTTCAAAGTTGCTTTTTGTTTGGAAACACTCAAATTGCTGAAATCTGGATCCTGTTGTGTGGCTTGCATAACGGCGCTTCGGCATCCCGATTCCTAATCCTGAGCCACTAACTGCACGATACTACAACGACGAGAATGGATTTATTTGAGCTTCGCACGGTTTCTACCACGATATATGACTTAATAAATAAATTGATCTAACAAATTTTCGTAGAAACATTTCTACAAATGTCCAGTCATTTCGACTGGATCGGTAGTTCCAGTGTCAACGCGCAGAGAATCGAACGAATTAGTAAAAATTGAAATTAGTAAATTAATTAATTAAACAATTGCTAAATTCTCGTGGATTAGTAAATTCTATTTGACATTGACTAGCCTCTCTGACCAGTACTTCCGCGAAATTAGGGGTTCCTTAGGTCATTTGAAGTAACTTTCTCCTCGGCGAAATTTTAATCCGCGGCTTTGTTTACGAGTTATTAACGAAAAACAGTGACCAATGGGAGGCGAGCTTTGCTGTCGCGAAACGGCCGAGCCAATGAACGGAACTAGGCTTCGCGCGTTCGTTGGCTGCGTCGCCTCACGCTAGCCGAGCTCGCTCCTCATTGGTCAGCGTTTTTCGTTAATAACTCACGAACGGTGTCTCGGAGAAAATTTTTGTAAAGGAGAAAGTTGCTTCGAATGACCTCAGGAATCCCTCATTTCCCGGAGGTACCATAATTGTGGGACACCCTGCATATTCTCGGACTGTGCGGGACGAACGGGTCGTCCGCGGCTGCTCGTCGTAAAATGACAGTAAAACTGAACAACCATTTAAACCGGGACGGAGCCGTTCATCATAACCCGGGAACGCGTCCTTTTGTATTTCCTAAACGAGCGCGACACGAGCCGGTCGTTTGCGTTTGCGACGATCCGGATTGGTTCGCCTCAGTTTCGATAGCGAACGAGGAGACGACAGTTCATTTCGCGTGGTCGTAATCGCAGTCTGCGAAGTTTCGTCGAAATTCCAATTTATGGGCGATCGTTTCTGCGAATCCCTCGCCGAGGTAATCGGCGCCCGGTTAATTAAGCACCGGAGCAGTCGGACTCGTTTAAAACGCGGATTCTCTGTTTTAGAGTCGCTTGGGTTGGATGATTACGGATACTGCTCGTGTCTTATTTTCTCCCGCAGGATCATCGCCCGTGATTTTCTGTCGTATTATAGCTCCACTTTTATGCGATAATCATTCCATCTTTGCTGTTCATTATCTCTCTCTCTCTCTTCGATATTTTCGATATCGTTCGATGACTTGGAGCTGCCGGTCGCGCGATCTTGTCATTTTTATTATTTTTCATCGTCGCTGCTTTTCCACTCTCTTTTCATCTGTCGTTGTTATTTATTAGCTGTGGCATGCAATGTTAATTAGCGTTTGTTTCTTCCAGCGTTGGGTACCAACACAAAGACGAGGTTTGAAAGCGACCAACAAAAATTGCCTCGCAAGAATTACAAGATTATATAATCTTATAATTTTATATGATCATAGTCTTTAATTTTAATAATTTTATACAATTATGATCTTCAGTTTTAGTAATAATATTGTATAATTATGATCTTTAACTTTAATAATATTGTAGTGCCCGATAAAAAATAAAATAATAATGTAGTAATAATATTATATAAATAAATAATATTGTAGTAATAATTTTATAGTGCCCGAGTAAAGAAACATATTCGACAATTTTTGATGGAGCATTGCGACTTCAATAATTATGGTGCTGATAGGTTTAGTGTTGCGCACGAAGCGGCGTATCTTCGAACGGCAATCGCCTCGATTATTGAATTTATGCGTCTGCTTCCGGCGTCGAAAGTTACCGCAGCTACGCGTATCTCGTCGACTGCGTTAAATGCAAACGTGTCCTCTCTCGGAAAACGCGATAAAATTATCGTCTTAGATAAAAGCCGCGGATTCCGCGAAGCCGTGCGCACGCGACATCGGGCATCGTCGAGCTGTTACGAGCGAATTCATCGGAACGTGGACGATCGCGGCGACGTAGAACTTTTCTAGCGATTTATTGGAATTAGTTAAGGAAAGATCCCGATTTCGTCGAGTTGGTGCCAAAAGCGATGACTGTCGTTCAGCCTGACTGATCGACGCGGCGTCGTGTCGGCCCCAGGCGGCGGTGGGTGCGCGGTGGTCAAAGGGGCTGTTCGGGCGCGCAAAGAGCAGCGTGGAAATGTAAAGGTGACGCGAACGATGTTACATATTCGCCGGATGGGTCGTATTAAAAGTCGCATCCTCGGCGCGTCGTCGTCGCCGCTATAAGCATCGCCGGCGAATTTACGCATATTTACCTAGTCAGACGGAGACGCCGGCGCCTCCCTGACTCAAGGCGGTAGCCGTCGACGCCGACGTCGACGACGTCTCCACGGAGAGGAGATATCGGCAAGCGTGGCCCGGCCCGGCCCGGCCCCGACACCTTCTCTCACGCATCCGGCCAATCCTAAAGCTGTCGACGTGAGTTGTCGCGGCGCCATCGGATCCCCGTTACCCGCCGATTTCTTTTTTTACAAACGATTCCGCGACGCTGGAAGTAATCCGTGGATCGTATCCGCGAGCTTTTTATTCATCGCCGAGCGACCTGGCGCCGTCGCACCACCTTATTTTCCGTCGGCTTCGCGCCGATTTTCATGGATCTCGAACGCCGCCGGCTCTCTTATTCTCATCGGACGGACACACGGGCCCGGCCAAACAAATTATCTCGGCGGAATCGTTTTCCACGAGAATCGACGATGCCGAATTTCAACGTCGATCCGGATTAAGCTATTTTCGACCGTTATCGCTTCCCACCGTACGTACGAGTTTCATCAATTTTTCGGTCGCGCTTTCGGAACTTTTTTGTGCTCCTCAATAATTTTATCGTAAAGGGTGGTCCTCTTGGCTTCGCTTCGAGGTCTCAAGGATTGAAAAATTCTCACGAGAATTTGATCTTGCCAGCGATTTAGAATACCCTATCAAATTTAATCACGTTTTTCCGGCTCGAGTCCGTTATTTTCCAATTTCTCGATAGGATGTCGTATCTTTTTGCATTCCTCGATGAGTTTATCGTAAAGTGTGAACTTTTAGCTTCAATTTGAGCCCTCGGAGGTTCAAAAATTTCCACGAGAACTCGTGTCATCGTTGATTTTTGACAAGCTGTACTTTCTTCTTGGTTGAAGTTCGACATTTTGCAATTTCTTGTTACGATCGCGTATTCTTCCGCGTTCCTCGATAATTTTATCGTAAACTGTGAACTTTTAGCTTCAATTTGAGCCCTCGGAGGTTCAAAAATTTCCACGAGAACTCGTGTCATCGTTGATTTTTGACAAGCTGTACTTTCTTCTGGGTCGAAGTTCGACATTTTGCAATTTCTTGTTACGATCGCGTATTCTCCTGCGTCCATCAATAATTTTATCATAAAGCGCGATCACCTAGCTTTCGTTTAAGCCCTCAAAGGTTCGAAAACTGTGACACGACCGCATTTTATAGTCTATTTTGAGCAACCCACAAGATTTCATATTTTCTTACCAGCTGAAGTTTGAAATATCTCAATTATCTCGACATGATCTACTATTTTACCGTACTTCCAAATAATTTTATCGTAAAGTGCGACCGTCCAGCTTTCATTTAAGCCCTCAAAGGATCAAAAACAGCCATACGACCACATTTTGTCGTCTATTTTCAGTAACCCGCGACTCTTCATATTTTCTTCGCTGCTGAAATTTTGAAATATCCTAATTCCTCGACACGATCACGAATTTTCCTGCAATCCTAAATAATTTTATCGCGAAGCACGATCATCCGGCTTTCATTTGAGCCCTCGAACACTTAAAAAATCCCACGGGAATTTATTCTATCATCGACTTAAAATATCCTATGCAATTTAATAATTATGTTCCAGCTGATCTTCGACATTTTCGAATTTCTCAACAAGAACCAACATCTTCCAATGGCTCCGAATAATTTGATCATAAAGCGCGATCATTCAGCTTTGATTCGAGCCCGAGAAGGGTTGAAAAACACGCACGAAAGTCGACTTTTCGACGAAAAGACGGATACCGGATTCGGGCGCAGCGAGAATAGAATCGAAGCGCCGCGTAAGAATCGGCGTAAATATTCCCCGTAAGAAAAAAATCGCGTTTACCAGCGCAATCGTCCCTGAGCCGCGCGACTGAGGGAGACCTGCGAAAGAGAGCCTCGGATCTCTGACACCGTTGGAAGATCCTCGATCGCCAGCTCCGATCCGCGTCCTTTGCTGTGTGCCGGCGCGGTGTGATTTCTCATCTCGTCCCGTGCTTGTTTCGTCTGTCATGAAATTTATGCGTATATCTGCGGCCGGGGAGGACGAAGTGTGCGTGTCCATCGCGTGGGTTAGGCTAAATCGGTTACGCTGAATCAACAGAGAGCGGAGGAGAGCGAGAGAGGCACCGGTGTAGCGTCGCGACGCGCTCACGAGGGACTCGTCTAGACGCACAAATCGCCTGGCAGCCAGACGACGGACGGAAACATTGTTGCAGGGACCACCCCTGACACTTTTTGTCTTCTATCTGTCATTCCATTGAATTAATTGCCGTTCGTTTCGATGTTCTACGCGAGACCCGTTGCACCGGAATCGTCGAGCCCGATCCGCATCTCCGTCTCTCAGTCCATCTCTCTTTCTTGGCTACCACCTGTCGAAATCGCGTGGCCTAATCTAGATTACGGTGATTTTCTTCTGCTGGAACGTACGCTATCTTCTACTAATTCTTCGATTTCGCACGTCAGATTAGACGAATCGCGGAACAATTGAAATCGAAATTGAAATCCTCGAGTTCTTCTCGCAGCGAACTCGGTAAATTCGGTCAGGGTGCAACAAGATTTTATTCGGACGATGGGCAGGGGATGAAGACTNATTTTATCGTAAAGTGTGAACTTTTAGCTTCAATTTGAGCCCTCGGAGGTTCAAAAATTTCCACGAGAACTCGTGCCATCGCCGATTTTTGACAAGCTGTACTTTCTTCTGGGTCGAAGTTCGACATTTTGCAATTTCTTGTTACGATCGCGTATTCTCCTGCGTCCATCAATAATTTTATCATAAAGCGCGATCACCTAGCTTTCGTTTAAGCCCTCAAAGGTTCGAAAACTGTGACACGACCGCATTTTATAGTCTATTTTGAGCAACCCACAAGATTTCATATTTTCTTACCAGCTGAAGTTTGAAATATCTCAATTATCTCGACATGATCTACTATTTTACCGTACTTCCAAATAATTTTATCGTAAAGTGCGACCGTCCAGCTTTCATTTAAGCCCTCAAAGGATCAAAAACAGCCATACGACCACATTTTGTCGTCTATTTTCAGTAACCCGCGACTCTTCATATTTTCTTCGCTGCTGAAATTTTGAAATATCCTAATTCCTCGACACGATCACGAATTTTCCTGCAATCCTAAATAATTTTATCGCGAAGCACGATCATCCGGCTTTCATTTGAGCCCTCGAACACTTAAAAAATCCCACGGGAATTTATTCTATCATCGACTTAAAATATCCTATGCAATTTAATAATTATGTTCCAGCTGATCTTCGACATTTTCGAATTTCTCAACAAGAACCAACATCTTCCAATGGCTCCGAATAATTTGATCATAAAGCGCGATCATTCAGCTTTGATTCGAGCCCGAGAAGGGTTGAAAAACACGCACGAAAGTCGACTTTTCGACGAAAAGACGGATACCGGATTCGGGCGCAGCGAGAATAGAATCGAAGCGCCGCGTAAGAATCGGCGTAAATATTCCCCGTAAGAAAAAAATCGCGTTTACCAGCGCAATCGTCCCTGAGCCGCGCGACTGAGGGAGACCTGCGAAAGAGAGCCTCGGATCTCTGACACCGTTGGAAGATCCTCGATCGCCAGCTCCGATCCGCGTCCTTTGCTGTGTGCCGGCGCGGTGTGATTTCTCATCTCGTCCCGTGCTTGTTTCGTCTGTCATGAAATTTATGCGTATATCTGCGGCCGGGGAGGACGAAGTGTGCGTGTCCATCGCGTGGGTTAGGCTAAATCGGTTACGCTGAATCAACAGAGAGCGGAGGAGAGCGAGAGAGGCACCGGTGTAGCGTCGCGACGCGCTCACGAGGGACTCGTCTAGACGCACAAATCGCCTGGCAGCCAGACGACGGACGGAAACATTGTTGCAGGGACCACCCCTGACACTTTTTGTCTTCTATCTGTCATTCCATTGAATTAATTGCCGTTCGTTTCGATGTTCTACGCGAGACCCGTTGCACCGGAATCGTCGAGCCCGATCCGCATCTCCGTCTCTCAGTCCATCTCTCTTTCTTGGCTACCACCTGTCGAAATCGCGTGGCCTAATCTAGATTACGGTGATTTTCTTCTGCTGGAACGTACGCTATCTTCTACTAATTCTTCGATTTCGCACGTCAGATTAGACGAATCGCGGAACAATTGAAATCGAAATTGAAATCCTCGAGTTCTTCTCGCAGCGAACTCGGTAAATTCGGTCAGGGTGCAACAAGATTTTATTCGGACGATGGGC